GGTTGTGTTCACACACTGCCAACACACATTTATGTCCAAACAGCATGTAAAATTTTATTTTGCATAATAGGTCCCCTCTAAATTTACAGTAAATTTAACTGAAATAATATTGATACTGAAATACTGTTAATATGCCAAATGACTAAAATATGTTTTTCAATTTTGTATTAAAGTTTATCACAGGTAGCTTTTCTACAAGCTGAGTTAAATATTAATATATATGTCATAAACACAAATATAGAACACCATCATGTTAACACAGATGACACTAAAATAATGACGTGACGTGACGTGTGGCCAAGTATGGTGTCCCATACATAATTTGTGCTTTGCATTTTCCCCATCCAAGTGCACACACACAGCAGTGAGTAGTGAACACACACACACACACACACCGTGAACACACACCCGAAGCAGTGGGCAGCCATTTTTTTCTCTGGCGCCCGGGGAAGTTAACTTCCCCCACCTCCAATCCCTGCCGGTACCGAGACTCAAACCCGCTACCTTTGGGTTACAAGTCCGACTCTATAACCATTAGGCATTAACCATAATGCAATAAACATTAATTTAACAACATAAGATATATCATAAAACCTGTTCATAACTGATGAGATAAAATCTAAGAATAAACATTTTTCATTGTAAATTATAAGATGTCTTTTCAGTTTTTTCACTTCCAAAACTGTAAATTTAACAGCATTTTACTGTAAAATTAAATGAAATGTCCTATTAGATGTATTACTCTATCCCATTGCTGTCAACTTACCATCAACCACTTAACAGATTTTTACTGTTGCATTTTTTACAGTCTTTTACCATTAAAATTACAGTATTAAAAATGAATTTTCAAAGCCATAAATAAAATAAAGATTATTGGAATACATTTTACAAGAAAATACTGAAAATACATATTTCACAAAAAGAAGAATGTAAAAACAATAGAAAGTGTGTTCAAAATTAAGACAAATGGGGCAGCTGTATTTATACATCCATTTAAAAATGTACAGGCAGCCATAGCAAAAAGTTATTTCTGAGAAAAGATCTTGTATCATTTGTTTATAGACGGCACATAATTTGATGTTGTGTAATCTGATACAGTGACATATTTTTTAAAGTGTGACTCAAGTTTCCATTTTCTGAGGCCACTGTTTCGGGGCAAAAGATCTGGGATAAATAACGGCACTTCTTTTGTGCTTGTAATTTACAGTTCTGCAGTGCACCTTAGAGCCTGGTCAGCAGTAGATGTGGTTTATCAAGTTCTCACTATTGAAAGACTGAACACAGCTGTTCCTACAGCTTAACAGACTGACCTCTGCTGGCATGGCATGAGCTGTGGGGTTGAGCTTTAGTACAGTAATCTGTTATACTTCCTATCAGGGTGCAGTTTAAATATGATTTTCTTTCCCCCTCCTACACGCTCAGACTGTCTCATCTAGCAGATTCTTTCTCCTCCTGTCTCCAATCTCTGCTCTTCTGCACACGGCTCAGTTACCAGAAGGGTTTCCTATGCCAAGCATAACTTCTAATATTGCTCATATTTAAGGTTAGGGATTTGGACAAAACCTTCGCTTTCAGAAAGTGAACTTTATTCAAATTCTGAGAATGTTAATATTTAGGGGTGTAAATGGGACGGTTCATCATAATACAATATGATATCGATTCTCATACCCAGCGATATGATATTTGCAGATACCTCAAAAAAAATTATACGATACGATTACAATATGATTTGATTCAGGAGTATATGGATATATGGATATTATGATATTATGTACCTATTTTACACAAGCAGTTACATTTTTATTCACAAATGCAACCAAAATATATAACATGAACATTTATCTAAAATTTGCACATCCTGTACTCCAAATGAGACATTCAAAACAAAAAAATACACTTTTTTTATATAATAAAGAAAAATAAATAATTGGGGGGGAAATTCAAGTCACACACACATAAGATCAGTAATCTTATGACATGGATGACTTGTATTTAGGCATGTGGCCCAGAGATGACAGCACACAAATCAGAACCATATGTGGCTAGCACACCGTTGAATATGTCAACCCATGGTTAACATGTGGTTTTTACTTGGAAAAACACACATAACCTGCTATAGTCATAATGTGCTGCAGGTTTCTCAGCCTATTCAACAACACCATTGGTTGATGAGAATCTTCCCTTTACTTACTATTGGTGGGTTATTGACAGTGTTGGGAAGGTTACTTTGGAAATGTAATAGGTTACAGATTACAAGTAACCCTATTTAAAATCTAATAAGTAATAACTTTATTAAAGTAATGTAACTGACTACATTTGATACATTTGATTTCTAATGTTTTCAACTGTTAATCATTTTCAAACATTTAAACCAGGCAGGGTTAACCTTACAGTAGTACTCAACACTGATTACTGTCAGACTTTCAAAATCCTTCACTCGAATTAAGATTATAAAAATTTTATTTTAAAGCACAGCCATCAAAAAATTAGAATTTACTTTGAGATCATTCTGAAGTTAAATACAGATTCAAGGAATAGTTTAATAGCTACGATACTGTTTTTAAAATCAAATCTTTGCATAGCTATGATAGGAAACACTGGCATCTAACAATGGTTTGGGGAAAAAAACAGTTAATCTTAAAAAATAAAGCATATACATAAACCCAAATAGGAAATAAAAGAGTTATCGAATAAACATGTGTCCTATTCTGTGTCCTGAAACATTGGTGTCTCATATTTTAGGGCATCCACTGCAATTTATAAAATAAATCAATTAAATCTGTATGTGGGTGTGTTTGTGGAAAAAAATTCAGATGTAACCCCCTTTGTAATCATTAACATTTTCATAAGTAACTGTAATTCCATTACACATTTTTTCTCAGTAACTGTAACTGATTACAATTACATTTATGTTGTAATTAAATTACGTAGTTCTGTTACATGTAACTAGTTACTCCCAACACTGATTATTGAAAAAGTGTCTGGTACAGAGTCTCTGTTCTCCCTCCTTACAACAACAGCCTTTGCCCAGACACACTTTTATCTTCAGGTAAATGCAGTTTTGGTGTTTAAAATGTTTTCTAGGTGTAACACTACAATTATTTGTACAGAAAATATGTTTTCAGTTCGGTATGTGTACCCAACAAATACATTTTTAACCACTGCATGTTGCAGAACTTAATCATATTCCCTCTACATCATCACTATACATTATCTCCTCTCCAATAATCACAATAAGCTTTGTGTTTTGTTATTTAAAAAAAAAAAAACAGTCTCATCTTTCAAATTCTGTCTATTTTATCAGGAATTTCAAACAATAAATGCTGTTTTAACGCTTCCTTGATGTGGCGTGACAGATCGCTGTAGTGCCTCAGTACAACATGTGAGTTAAATATTATATTTACAACAACATTTATGAACAGCATTTGTGACAGGCAAGTGGACTAGTGAAAGCAGAAAAAATATATTTTTATATATTTAATATATATTTTTTTATATTATCGCTGCTGAATTTTGCACATATAGTTTGTTAAGGTTGACATTATTAGGGACCCCAGCAAGAAGCAGCATTGCAGTAAAAGCGAGAAAAAACTAAAGTATTAAAAAGCCACATTAAAGGATAGCATAGGGTGAAGTCTAGCAATATTTCTGAGAAAAGATAAGGAAGTCTTACATTGCACGTGTGGATCAAAAGACAAACTCAAGTCAAATATAACTCTTACATTTTTTAGTTCAGTTCAAAACTCCAAAACAGAGCCATCCACGTATAACGTTAGCAAACCAGCTTTATGAAGCTGATGAGGAGAGCCAATGAGCATAACTGAAGTCTTATCAATATTAAGTTTGGTTCATCCAAATTTTTATCTCAGAAATGCAATGTGAGAGAAAAGAAACATCCGCATTTTGACCAGTGAATATAGTGAGTATAAATAGAGTTAATAGAGTGAATATAAATCTGACTACCCATTTCACCCTCTGATTTCTGTTTTATGGACAAAATATCATCTTTTGTGTTCCACACAAGAGATGAAGTCATATAGGTTTGGAATAATAGTCATTTAAGAAGTCATATAGGTCAGTTAATGATTACAGTAACAGTACAATATATTGTTCGGCAGCCTCAACAGGTTGTCCATTGATAGGAATAGATCTGATGGTTATCAGATTCCTAAGAAAATAAATGGAAATGTTTTTGTTCTTGATTACAATAAACATACTGTAAACAGCTGTAAACATTAGTTTCTTATAAATCAGCCTTTGATAAGAAAAGGATTTAAATACACCATTTCCTTAAGCCACTTTAAAAATTAAGAACACACAAAAGCATTTACCCCTGGTGTATGGAAATGGTAAGTTAATGTGCAAGGTTTGCAAGTTTTCAGTGTGTTTAAATCATGAAAAATTGTCTTCTTTTGTTTGCAGACTGTCTTTCTTATAAAAAATATTTATTTTTTTATGGTTTAAAAGTTTACGGTTCTGTGATGTTAAATCAAGTAAGTGTCATTTTAAGATTTAACTGAAACAATTTCTCTTAAGAACTTTAAAATATTGTTTTCACAATATATTACATTATGACCCATGTAAAAAAATAAAATAAGCATTTTTGTTTGTTTGTTTTAAATGTTCTTTCTGGGAGCTATGTATGTAATACAAGAAGCAGAAGCACCATGTATTAACATCAGTGATACCAACAGCAACCATGAGCTTGAAAAACTTCTGGACAGAATTAAATATGTTGCTCGAAGCTGCAAAGAAATTCGTGACAAGTATCATGTTTATGATGGTACAACCATTTTCTATCTATATTTGTGATCTTGTGCACCAAACTGCATTTATTTGACTCAGGAATGCTTGTGTTCAATCAGACGGCCTGTACTATCTGATCTCATCAAGAGGAGTCCTTTACCAGACGTTCTGTGATATGACCACTGCTGGAGGCGGCTGGACGCTGGTGGCAAGTGTTCATGAAAACAACATGTATGGAAAGTGCGCTGTTGGTGATCGCTGGTCTAATCAGCAGGGCAGCGACCCAAACCGGCCTGATGGTGACGGGACATGGGCAAACACAGTCACATTTGGATCTGCGGAAGCTGCTACAAGTGATGATTATAAGGTATTTTTATTACAGTAATGGTTTTACAGCCATGACTTAACATAAAGGATATTAAGACACTGGACTGACAATCAAATGATGTTAATCTAGAATCTCAAACAGAACAAAACTGTATTATATAAAGCACTATATAAATAAATGTGACTTGACAGAATCCTGGATATTTTGACATTGGGGCACAGGATGTGTCTGTGTGGCATGTTCCTAATAATAGTGAGTTGGAGCACTGGACCACTGCCTCCATCCTGAGATACCACACTGAAAATCGGTTCTTAACCCTACATGGAGGAAACCTTTTCAATTTATTCAAGGTTAGATAAACTTTGACACCATTTTAACAGAAATATAGGTAAAGACTAATTTTGTCATGAAATTAAATAAAACACTGAATATTTATCTTCATTTTCCCAGAAATTCCCTGTGAGGTTTGGAATCGGGACATGCAACATTGATAATGGACCTGCTATTCCAATAGTGTATGATACTGGAAGTACGATAATGACCAAAAATCTGTATGGTCCAAATTCAAGAGGTATAGCAATACTTAAACAAATATTTTTCAAATTAGCTACATCGATTAACAGTCATAAAATCTGTGTATTATTCAGTTCTGGTGTTCATTGTTGAGATCACTTTAGTGAATGAAAGCCATGTTGCATGTGGACCTACCATGACAGATCATCATCAGTGGTATATTCTGTGGATTTTGTTTTCAGAAATATTTGAGCCTGGATTCATCACATTCAGGGTCTTCAATACTGAAAAGGCAGCTATGGCTCTTTGTTCAGGCGTTAAACCAAACGGTTGTCACACCGAGCATGTGAGTTAAAAAATAATCTAACCATTTATAAACTGAAATTGTGGCATACTGTTAATCACCACAGGTAATAATTCATGCTTCGTTGTATAAATGAAGAGCAGGGGTCCAAAACATACGTAACCCACCAGTCTGATCATTCCATGCAGCCCAAAATCCAAGTCACAGAAATGTAACGGCAAGAATTATATATATATATATATATATATAAACAGGATTTAATAGAAAACATAAGTCGACATCATTTTAAAGTCAGTTTAATTTTTAGAATTTAGAAGCAACAACACAGTATACAGCACTACATGATTTAAGTATTGAAAATAAAGATATTTATAAAATAAATTTTATTATTATTAAAATAACAATTATTTAAAAAAAAGAATAAGCAACATACGTTACAAATATATTATGGCTAATGTGGCCCCTACCCCAAATTAGTTCCCCACCCCTGATGAAGAGCAAATGCATTTACAATACACTTACAACAGAAATTAATCAACTCCTACTGCACCAATATTATCTGAAGAAATACATAGGCATATTGTGTTGTTAGTAATGTACTCATGTTCTTGCAGTTCTGTGTTGGTGGAGGTGGACACTTTCCTGAATCAGCTAGACAGTGTGGGGACTTTACAAGTTTCGACTGGAATGGCTATGGTACTAATACAGAATGGAGTGCTTCCAGAGAGATAACTGAAGCAGCTGTGCTTCTCTTTTATTGCTGACACTCTGATCATTCTAAAGAGATATACCACACTGATTAACACCTGAACATTACAAACACAATGAGGAATTTATTTACAACATAAATTCTTTATAATGGTCTATAATAAGTGCAGTTTGTCCTGTGGGAATTTCAGATAAGCATGCTCCGGTGTTTTTAACTGCTGAAAAAATAATTCACAGGTTAGCCATTTAATGAGCAGCTTCTGCTATTTTCTACTCCATATCCAGTACTGTATACATTCTTTTTTATAACTGTCCAAAAGTGGAAGCAAATATATAACATTTTAATAAATTCAGTGGATTGCCACCTATTAAAACATTAATTATCCATTGTCATTTATAAACACTCTAATCCTTTTTCCAGTTTTCCAAGAAGAAAACATAACTGTTTTATAGTCACAGCCCTTTGGGGTTTCTCTTGGACCAATATCTGCAGAGTAAGGCACTAGGTTTAGCCAATTATCAAATTTAATCACTGCACATCCATACACAATGTGGGAAAAAACGTTCTCCTCACAGGCGTTGCTTTTGAATGCATCTTCCAAAAGTCTTTCTGTTGAATGTGTCTCTCTCAGAAAAATGGTCTTTCAGTGTGTGTGCTAGGGTATAGGACACATGAGTGAGAATAGCATCAATCCTACACTCAAAAAAAAAGTACAAAGCTGTTCAGTGCTCTAATTGAGGGGAGGCTGGGGAATATTTTTATTTTAGTAAAGCTAACAAAGACAACCCTGATTCAGTTCACGCAGTTAACATACGGTAAATGTTGTGAATTAATTATTACAATAACTCATGTGACTAAATATTTTAGTAAAGCTAACAAAGACAACCCTGATTCAGTTCACGCAGTTAACATATGGTAAATGTTGTGAATTAATTATTACAATAACTCATGTGACTAAAGTCTGTTTTCGGTTAGTTGTCATGTCAATGTAAACACCCCTAAAGACCACTAAGCGCATTACATCATTTGCTTGGTGCAGCTAACATTAAAATGAGGGGAATAAACCTCTAATCGGTGTCAGGAAGAGAAAGCTTCTTGGGTTGCTGACTTTGTTGAAGGGTAATTTTTTTTCTCCCTGTCTTTCTACTATATTTATCCGCTCCGTGTAGGGGCTTTTGTGTTTTTTGCATAAATTGGAAAAACAAATTTTTAATTGTTACTATTTTAAACACTTTATTATTTATTGCAAAGTCATCAAAGCTAACTCGTGGCATCCAAACTAATTATTTTGTGAAAAAAAGTAAAAAAAAAAAAAAACACAACAGTCGTCCATGATATGTCGCAGAAATACATGTGACACTTATTCGCAAAATCACCACTAGGTGGGGCAAAGGGTTGGTCCATTGCTCAGAAAGGCTGGAATTGTGACATTTGTAAATGAAGTAAATGAAGATGAAGACAAATGAAGACATTTGTAAATGAAGATAAAATAATTAAGTAAATTAAACAAGTCTTTTAATGTCCATTTGAAGTTACTGACTACTCCTTTATCACTGCTTTCTGAGACACAATGAAATAATTCTGCTACTGCTGATCTGACAGTCACAGCCTTCAGTGAGTGTATTCTACTGATTATCTTATTACTACTCTTTTTAGACATTTCAATGTATTCTTATTGCGCTTGTACATCTATCATATTTCTATCTATTGTTCCTGATCAACAGAAAAGCCTATTAGGCTATTTTATGTAAGCATGTTTTAATAAATTGTATATATATTATTATAATATATATTATAATTTTTTCATATTATGAATATATTTTATATTGCAAGACTTACACATTAGTACTTTAAACGTAAATATTAAGCTAAAGTGTACGTATTAGTACATTTTGAATGGTTACCGCCCTAGTGACATGTTTGTACTTTTTTTTTCTGAAAGTAATTTATAAGCACCTCCCACAAATAACAAAGGAATGGTTAACAGAACGGTTGCTGACTTTGTTGAAGGGTAATTTTTTTTCTCCCTGTCTTTCTACTATATTTATCCGCTCCGTGTAGGGGCTTTTGTGTTCTTTGCATAAATTGGAAACACAAATTTTTAATTGTTACTATTTTAAACACTTTATTATTTATTGCAAAGTCATCAAAACTAACTCGTGGCATCCAAACTAATTATTTTGTGAAAAAAAGTAAAAAAAAAATAAAAATAAAAAAATCACAACAGTCGTCCATGATATGTCGCAGAAATACATGTGACACTTATTCGCAAAATCACCACTAGGTGGCGCAAAGGGTTGGTCCATTGCTCAGAAAGGCTGGAATTGTGACATTTGTAAATGAAGTAAATGAAGATGAAGACAAATGAAGACATTTGTAAATGAAGATAAAATAATTAAGTAAATTAAACAAGTCTTTTAATGTCCATTTGAAGTTACTGACTACTCCTTTATCACTGCTTTCTGAGACACAATGAAATAATTCTGCTACTGCTGATCTGACAGTCACAGCCTTCAGTGAGTGTATTCTACTGATTATCTTATTACTACTCTTTTTAGACATTTCAATGTATTCTTATTGCGCTTGTACATCTATCATATTTCTATCTATTGTTCCTGATCAACAGAAAAGCCTATTAGGCTATTTTATGTAAGCATGTTTTAATAAATTGTATATATATTATTATAATATATATTATAATTTTTTCATATTATGAATATATTTTATATTGCAAGACTTACACATTAGTACTTTAAACGTAAATATTAAGCTAAAGTGTACGTATTAGTACATTTTGAATGGTTACCGCCCTAGTGACATGTTTGTACTTTTTTTTTCTGAAAGTAATTTATAAGCACCTCCCACAAATAACAAAGGAATGGTTAACAGAACAAAACAATATCACATATTTATATATCTATATATTTATATATTTACATATCACAAACAAAGTAGTTTCGCTTTCACAACGAAACACACAGCATCTTCACGACATGATGGCAGCGGCAACAACAATACTACAGCGAGAATCAAAGTTACACCTTCTTTCTTTGCGTGAACATTTGGGCAGCGTTATGCAAGTCTTCCCACATCGTGACGTAGACATGTGGGGGCGTGTTAGGCGTGTTAGAGATAAAGAATATCTCTTTGGATTTGAGACTTTAGTTTTTGCAACTTTACAGATCTTCTTTATGCACCAAGAGCTTGTAACACTCCAAAGAGAAAGGACAAATTTAAATTGCATCATATGACCCCTTTAAACCAAGCATTTTGTCATGTCCCTGAGGCACTTCAAAAACTTCAAACTTTTTCACTTCAAAGTTTTACTTCGAAAATTATTAACAAAATGTGCATAGTTTCTATGATTTTTGGCAATAATGTAAGCATTCATTTGTGTTCCTTTCTTTTGAAAAATATTTTTATTTAAAAAAAATCAAGATATTTTATAAAAAACAGACTTTAAAGTTATGTCCCTTAGTCTGAACTGAACCCTGTCACACGCCCATAATAATTTAGACTCCACACAAATGTGACATAATTTACCACAAATTACATCATTCAGGTCTCTTTAATAGTGGTGCAGAAAATGGTTAGTATATCATACTTTTCATTCATATTGTATTGTAGTCAATTTAACCAAGTCAGATAAAATTAAGATGAAAAATTATTATTTTTCAACATTTTATTTTAATCCATATATACAATGTGCTTATTTTATTGCTGCCATATATGGTCTACTCTCCTAGTGGCCATTTTGAGTGAAAAACCACAACCCAGTCACACTCAACACCATCACAAATATATGTATTTCTCATTGTTATGGGGTTGTAAACTTGTGACAGGGTTGAGTTATTTACTTAATTTAATAATAATTTAATTAAATAAAAAATATAAAATAGTCATGGTTTCAGTAAATATATACTTACAAATCATGACAACTCATATTTTTGTAATAAATAATTTTTTTAATGTAATATGTACACTTAAACGTTGACAAGCATCATACATCAGAAATTGCACCCACATTTGCAGCAGAAAGGCAATGTTGGCCATGCAGATATGTTGACAGGGACAATATGAGAGAGAAACAAAACCAAAAATTAAAATTGAAGGCAATGTATCCCTTCAAATGTGTTATAGTCTTCAACCCCATCACGCCTTGTCACATTAATATATTTGGAGAAAAAAAATACAGACAACTGAGAAAGAAAGCATTTCTTGCTGATTACTATCTGACATGTTAAGGATTGTGGTTTTAGTTCAACTTCTAAATTTAAAATATTTTTACAAAAATAAAGAGACCATAGACACACAATTTGTGTATTTTTAGCTTCAGTCCTATAAAAATTTGAAAATTATGATGAATATTACATTTGTTATCATTACATTTTTATGAGCGACATATTATCAGTAGGTAGATGTTTGTTTTTTTAACAAGTTCTGTGTAAAATCTTTTTTAAACCAATCCTATTTTGTGCGTTATGGCGTTGAGAAAAAAAAGGTGTCTAAATCCTTTTAAAAATTGTTTAAATAATATAAGGTCTTTAATGTGGTGGGAAAATATATTATTTTTTGGAGGTTTAATATGTGCCTAATCTTATGATGTATATATCTTAAAACTTTGAAAATCCCATTTTGTGTCACAATAACAATATGTCTTTATGTTTCACATTTTAGCAGTTCCAGGGCTTTATGGATAATTACCCACATTTGTACAGTTAGCCAAAGTGTTTAGATTTATTTTTTGATAGGAATAGAAAAATTTTATTTATTTTTACGCAAACAAGGTTGGCAAATGATTTAATTACACATCTAATGCTAATGTATAATGTATATTGTAACTTTCAAAATATTGTGACAATTGCATATTTTAAATTTGTATTCACAGTGCTGCCCACCAGTTACTTTCACTGTAAGTTTATTAATACAAATGCATTTGACATCCTATACAAATTGAGGGATGACTTTTTCCATATATGACATAATAAATAGTTTATAGAGCACATAAGAATTTGTATTAGAATTAAATTTTCTTGTCTCAAAAATGTTCAACACTGAATCTGAGCAGTAATTGAATCATAAACAACAGTAGTGTACTATAGACCAATTATCGGTTTGTAAACATTCAGGATGCGCGCGCATCATGGTTGCAGAAAACCCGGGAGAGATAGCCTTTACAGCTAGAGAATTTCACGGATACGGTACAAAATAGTTAGGTTTAAAAAGATTATAAATTATATTGATTAGATGTCATTTTCAAAATGTTCTACGCATATTACAAGAGCTTGTCACCCAGCGATAAGCACTGTTATTCAACGAAATTGACGTTAGAGAGTGGGATAGTCTTACAGATCCGAAACAGGGATGACGTTTTTTGTGGGCGTCGAATTTATGCTTTAAAAGTAGAGTAATCATAGCAGTTTTCATCCATAGTATGTCCATTTAAATGTCTGCGTTTAGCTTCAAATGACGACAGTATTCTATAAAAATTATTTGCATTCCGATCTTGACATCAAAAGGCAGCCGAGCCGGTGACCCGGCAGCTCAGAGGTGGTACAGCAACTGCACTGTAAACCCGAACAGTACTACTAACTTATAAAGATTAAGAGCACTGCAATTAAAGTCTGTTAAATCGTTAATGAAACTTATAACAATTACATTTTCTGAACGAGGAATTTAGTTTTATTTTTGTGCGGCTCAACAGTTTTGAGTAAACTCTTCTATTTAAATTATTATTTTTAAGTTTACTGAGTGACGTAAAGTGACGTCACCTCGTTGCTCTAACCGACGTTCAGAAGAATCCATTCAACATGGCGGATAATCGCAAGCGACCGGAGCAAACTTAATGGAACAACTTGTAAGTAAATCAAAACAACTGTGAAAATTTCTTATTTGCTTTTTGAGTGTTGTGAGAATATCATGATAAAGGAATGTTTTCATTTTTGGGAAACGCTGTTTTTACACAGCGCTGTAAAGCGCGGCATTTCCCTAGTGCTTTTGAATGCGCATTTTGAATGCTATTTTAGCGTCACTGCTTCTAGTTTAATGTTAACGTTAGCCGGCATTTTTTCAGTAAACGCAGTCCTAACGTACGTTTTGAATGTCGCTGCTGTTAACGGCAATGTTTAGGGCTGCGTTTCTCAAAAGCATCGTGAGCTAATGTTAAGTCGATTGTTGAGACCATTTGGTGGCAAATGTTTTTACGATCATCTTAGCCATACAATGCTTTTTTTGGGAAATGCCTTGGTAAATGTGATTTTTATTTGGTCTGTTTTTAAACAACTAGCTGCTAAGAGTATTAATCCAAAATTAGGTTAAAGCTAATACACAGACATGAATTTTGCAATATATTAAATTTACAAAAGCAATCTACAAACTTGTATTAAACA